TCCAGAAGTTGTGAATGCTCCAACACTGGAGGTTTTTAAGAAGAGGTTGGACAACCATTTGTCTGAAGTGATGTAGGGTTTCCTGCCTAAGCAGGGGGTTGGACTAGAAGACCTCCAAGGTCCCTTCCAACTCTATTATTCTATTCTAAATACGACTACTAGACACACAAAGAATTGATATACAGTTAGTCCTCAACTTACGACAACGGAGCCCAACGTTTCCGTTCCTGAGCAGAACCGTTGTTAAGTGAATTTTGCCATCTTTCATGACATTTCTTGCCACAGTTGTTACGTGAATTATTGCGTTTGTTAAGTTAGTAACATGGTTGTTAAGTGAATCAGTCTTTCCCGTTGGCTTTGCTTTGTCGGAAGGACGCAAAACACGTGACTCCAGGACACTACTGCCGTCGTAAAGATGAATCAGTTGCCAAGTATCTGAATTTTGATCACGTGACCAGGGGCACGCTGCAACGGTCGTTAAGTGTGAATCCTAAGACTCTTTTTTCAGCGCCATTGTAACTTCGAACTGTCACTAAATGGATTGTTGTAAGTTGGGGACTACCTGTACAGCAGTTGAAGCTTAATACTATACTAATACCAGCTATGCTGGCTGGAGAATTTTGGAAGTTGAAGTCCACAAGTCTTAAAGCTGCCAAGTTTGAAGACCTCTGACTTTGACGGAAGACCACGAAGATATCCCAAGGCGGTAGACTAAAGATTTAGAAGTAAAAAGAAAAATTCCAGAAGAAAAGGGGGAAAAAAAGGAACCGTAAATGACTATATGCTGTTGCCAATAAACCATGCATGGATCCAGTTAAATCTTTCGTTCTCCAGACGGGGGGACTCATTGTTTGGTTATTTGGCGTCAGAACAGTTAAACTTCGCAATTCATTTTTGGGACTTATCTGCATATTGCAGTAATATATATATATATTATATTAAATCCAAATAGGTCATCAAAAAGTCTTTAGCCAAATGTAAGAAGGAGCCTTTAACTCCTTTGATGAATTAGCACAGGACTTCAAACATTGGCAGCGAAAAGGCAAGTGGGAATATTGATCGAGAATGCAGCCCGACATTCATGAAAAGGATTTTCCTGATGAACTAACAAGGAAAACTTGTGTAGCTTGTTATCAATTTAACCTTTTAGGGTACAGGTAGTCCTTGAGTTACGACCAGAATTGAGCTCCACATTTATCTTGCTAAGTGAAACATTTGCTGAATGCGTTTGTCCCATTTTTACAATTTTTCTTGCCACAGATATTAAGCGAATGATTGCAGTTGTTAAAAGTTAGTAACCTGGTTGTTAAGCGAATCTGGTTTCCCCACTGACTTGGCCTGTCAGAAGGTCGCAAAAAAGGGGATTGTCTAACTCCGGAACACTGCGACCGTCATAACTATGAGCCAGTTGCCAAGCATCTGAATTTTGATCCCATGACCCAGTGGATGCTGCAATGGTCTGTGAAAAATGGCTGTTAAGTCACTTTTTTGCAGTGCCGTTATAACTTTGAACGTCACTAAATGAACTGTTGTTGTAAATTGAGGATTACCTGTACTTATTACAGCTGTTAGCATATTGACCCAGTAAATTCTAATTAAGAATCGCATGCCAAATAGAATCATAACCCACAAGCCTGAAGGATAACAGGCCTAATTCAGTGAAGAGTAAAAAGTGAATGTGGATTCCATTTTAAAAATCCATTTTAAAAATCCACAATAGGACAGCTGCCCTTTCTCGGCTCCCCCTTGCCTTTTGACCCATCCCAGCCCCTAAAATTGAGAGATTTCAGATAATATTTATATCTAACTCTACCTGACACAAGTGGAATACCCATAAATCATGTTTCTTTCAAAGTTCCAGCTTTCTAGCAGATGTTGGCCCACGCTCAAGACCTGAAAACATTTACACTTACTCAATTACTACTAAGTGTCAGGCATACAAATAAAAAACAGTATCAAGATCAGAGCTGTCCAGATGTTTGCAGATACAGCTCCCATAATAATACCTGAATTGTAGAATACTTATAAGGAAAAAAAAAAAAACACCACACCAAGGAAGTAGAACAAGATGGACGAGACCAGGGACATCGAATCGGAAAAGAGCACCTAACTTTAAGACTTGTGGACTTCAACTCCCAGAATCCCCCAGCCAGCCATGGGAGTTGGGATAAGTCTTTACAGTCGGCAAGATTGGACACCCTGATCTAACTAAAAGGGAAGAATTAAGGAAGAAAAACAACGAAGAGGGTGAAAAGAAGGAAGTGTGAGAAAGAAACAAGAAAACAATGGAAATATGAGTGAATAGCTGGTATTAATGATATATACAGAAAGTAAGGCAGTCAAATGCTACATCATGGATTCAGAATGCTGAGAGTTGTAGTCCGGAGAATGCTAAATTGGACAAAACAGCTTTCAGAGGACATTTTCATAAGTCAAGATCTTGCAAACTAACATTTGGGGAAATGCAAATTAATTTCCTTCTAATTTACACCACCCCACTATCCATCCACAGCAAGGGGCAACACTAGTGCTCTGCACAAACAGGAAAGAGGAGGCCGTGTCAGGACGTGATCAAATCACAGGGGGATTTGCATGGCAAGAAAATATATATATATATATATATATATATATATATATATATTTCCAGTTCCTGAATTATCGGAGAATTGAGAAGCGAGGCTGTTTTTCTTTTTTTTTTTTTAAAGTCTTAGGGGTCTTCACCAGGACTTGTCTTTCCTGCTCCAGACCCACAAAACTGGGATGAAGGGGAGGGCTGAGAAAACGTCTTACGTTGCCCTAATTGCTTCTCACCCTCCGGTCACGGAGCCTATAAAGACGTGTCATTCGATCTATTCTTTCCCAGTTCGGATTATGTGCTGCTATTGTTGCCCTCTGCACATTTATTTCTTAGGCTCTGCTCTTAGCATTTGGGAGGGGAGAAAGGAGAGGGCAGGTGGTGGGGAAACCCTGGGATCACCTGCCCTCTTCTCATCCCGTCCTTGATCCTGGCAACTTTTTCTTGCCTTGCCTGTGCAGATTTCTCCCTCATCCAGGTCAGGGTTGTGCCAAAAGTGGTCCCCGCCCCCCAAAAAAGGCAACTGGACTTTCTTGGATTGTTTTTTTCCCCCCTTGAAGCAGCTTCTTGGATGAGAAGTGAAGCATTTTCAAAGAAAACAAAAAAAAAAGTCCAGTTGCCTTTTGGAAAAGCACTTTTGGGACACCTTCCTGCCTTGCACGCCAAAGAAGGAAAACAGCTGGATCACCACTCTACAAGAAGAAATACCCCAATGCAGGCTTTCTTCCCTCTCCCTCCCTTTCTCCTTCCTTCCTTCCCCCTCCCTTCTTCCTTCCCCCTTTTTTTCTTTCTTTCTTTCTTATTTATTAGTTTGATTTATATGCATCCCTTCTCCAGAGACTCAGGGCGGCTTACAATGCTTTTAAGCAATAGCCTTCATACTTTTTGTATGAAAGCCCTGCTTAGTAGGGCTTTCGGCTCCCCGTAAGCGGTGTTCTTTTTTATACAAAGCCAGCTTATTGCCCCCACAAACCGGGTCCTCATTTTACCTACCTCGGAAGGATGGAAGGCTGAGTCAACCTTGAGCCTGGCGAGAATTGAACTCACAGTAATTGCAGGCAGCTGGCAGCTAAGTGCTACTTTAACAGTAGTTTAGTCCACTGCACCACCAGGCTCCTTTCTTTCTTTCCTTCCTTCCTTTCCCTTTCCTCCCTCCCTCACTCCCACCATCCCTTTTTCCTTCCTTCCTTCCTCCCCATCCCTTCCTCCTTCCTTCTCTCTCTCCCTTTTTCTTTCCTTCTTTCCCTCCCTCCCACTTTCTCCTTCCCTCTTTTCCTTCCTCCCTCCCTCCCCTTCCTCATTTTCAGACCTCTGACTTTGGGTCTTCGCTCTTAGACCAAGGATTGGGGGGGGGAGAATCTCCCCTTCCTGAAGAGGACACTGCTGAAGGGGAGGGGGCATTAGGGCCAGACCAGGCTTGACACCCCAGGCTGGGGGGTGGGGTGGGTGGGGGTATCCCCAACCCTCAATGGGCAGCGTCAGGAACTCCTTGGGGAGGGGGGGGCTTCGAGTTGCAAGGGGCATCCTAAGGGCTCCCCCCACCCCCTCCTAACAACCTGTCCCAGATACTTCAGATATTCGGTACAAAATAAGGCTGGGGGGTCTTGAAACCTCCTCCTCCCCCTTGGAGGAAAGGGGGGGTGTCTGAAGACCACAAAAGGGAGGGAGGGAGAAAAGGGGCGTCTGTCTTGGTAAGCCCCCCCCCCTTCCCCAGGCTCTCTCCTCAGGCTGACCCCCTCCTCGCTTTCCCTCGTGGGGGGGGGAAGAGGGGGGGGGCTGCGGGGGGGAGGGGCCCCTACCTGCTGGTTCTCCTTGTCGCCCGGCGCTGCGTGGCCGGGGCCGCTCATCATGTTCGCGTAGAGAGAGCGGGATAAAGGGCTCCGGAGGTAGCGAGCGGGGCCAGACCACATCCTCCTCCTCAGCAGCCACAGCGAGACGGCGCAGCAGCCCAGCCAGGCCAGGCAGAGTCTCATGGGGGAAAGGGGCCGCGGAGGAGAACCGAAGAAAGGGGCGAGCGATCACCCCCGCCCGCAACCACCGCCTCCTTGCTCCATGGCGGCGGCGGCGGAGGAGGAGGAGGTGGCGGCCAGAGCCAGCGCCGAGATCCCCATTTAGCGCCCTCGCCGGCGCGCAGCCGAGGCCGGAACCCGAGGCCCGCGGAAGGGGGGCCCGGCCGGACAGGATGGCCAAGGGACACGCACGCGCCCGACTACCGCCCGCCCGCTTGCTCTTTCTCGCGCACGCGCAGACACACGCGCGCTCGCGCTCTCTCTCTCTCTCTCTCTCTCTCTCTTCCCCCTTCCCCGGCGAGCCGCCTTCCTTCCGCGAAGCCCTCGGCGCGCGCGTGCGCATTCGGCGCACTCGCCCCCGGGGTGGGTGCCCGCGCGCGCCCCCTCCCCTCTGGCCCAGCTCCTCCAATCCCGGAACGGCCCGAGCAGCGCCGCCCCGCCGCACAATGCCCTTCGCGGGGGCGCGCCGCTCGAGGAAAGGGGGGGCGTGCCCGACGGCGCGCGCGCGCGCACGCCCCGACGCGTTCCTTTCCTTTCTTCCCCCCCCCCCCCCATTTTCACCACCCCCCTCTCGGACGGTATGCAGAGTGGTGGTCGTAAAACGAACTCCCCCCCCTCACTCCCGGAGAAGTCCCGTCGTTAAAACGATGCTTTCCAAAGCCTGATCTCCTAAGGTAGACTTCACCTATACGGGGAGGTTCCCTTTCTTTCACACATCAACATTTTTTAAAGATAATTCTTATATGTCTTTCCAGCATCCCTTTCCTTTTATTTATTTATTTATTTATTTATATTGATTTAACAGCCCGTCCTTGTCAACGCCGGGGAAGAAACCACCAAAAAATACCTCACGAAGAGTTCATCAGCTAGACTGCGCCTACACAAGGAGGTTCTACCTGCAGAACCAGAAATTTTAAATGAGATGAACGACTTGATCTTTCACCGCCGAAACAGCCGCTTGTGCGTCTGATGGAAGAGACATCTCCGTATTAAATGGAAATAATGGGAAGGAGTATTTATTTTTCGCCCCGGGAAAGAAAATCACTCAAAAGGAAGTCTCACTGCGCCTGCATGGATGAGAACAGCTGTCATGGCTCATAAGGAAGCTAAACTGTTGTACCTATTTGGGAGACTTTTCCCTAACTGTTCATTTTCACACTCCATGTTTAAAAATAAAACCACTTTTACGGAACAATAACTTTAAGCACCTGGAAATTACTTGCAGCCCACAGCAAAAATAAAAAAAAGGCCTCTTATTTTAAATGGGAAAACTTAATGGACGATAGTGAGTTTCCACGTCACTCCACAAAAAAACCCTATGAAATATTGAACTTTTCCGTATTCTCCATTGTAAACGTATTCAAAAGTTAAAGATTGTATAACTGGGAAGTCATCTTATTTTTTTTTAAAAAAATTTATCTACTGCTGGATTGGCATAATTCCCAACTTTAAAAGAGCTTTAAATTATGCCAAATGGATTATGTATTATGAAGGCACAAACTCCAGGGCAATATATACTATTGATTAGGATCTGTCTTATTCTGCCAACATAGTTTTAGGATGATTAGTGTTGCAGTAAATAAATAAAAAGCCATTGGCATCAGCAACTATTCTGGCAGATAACTGGGGGGGGTGTGGGGAAGCATTATAATGTTATTACAGATGACAAATTGTACCTTAGCTTTGTTCGATCAGTTGAGCTGTACTGAAAAATACCATCATTTATAACAAGAATGTTTGGAGGAAGTGTTTTAAATAAATGTGGGTGTTTTTCCAATTCTTAAGCAGTATTCCTGATTGTAAGCCTGTTCTGTTACCAGTTCATCCAGTTTACCAAGCAAGCAGGAAAAATGATAGATTGGTGTTTATACAATTTATACTCCACCAAAAATATTACCTATAAAAGCCAGTTGCATTACGTTCCCTATAATATGCCCAACAAGCAGAAAGTAATTTGTAAGGATTTAAAAATGCAATCCATTAATTCATAATGAAAGGCACTAAGGGTTTATTAGATTATTTATTAGATAGTGTATTAAAAGGACTGGGAAAACCACTGGACTGGAACAGATGAATTTGATAGACCAGACCTACCTCAACATAAGAAAAAAGCTAAAGCCCAACTTAGTTCTAAGAAGTTCCTTCCTCCAATGCTGTAATAAGAATGAAAAGAAAAAAAAAGTTGGCTTGCATATATGCATTATAAGAATAAATGACACATTAATCCATTGGACAAAAGATAGTACAATTTATTTTGGTTGTAATTCAGACTTCACCTTATTAAGCAAAATTTGTTTTCCATTCATTACAAATACTATTGAAAAAAGTAAAAACGGAAGACTTTTATAGAAAGAAAATCCCAAATCGCATTTTAAAATAAGGCAGAAAAAAAAATCATCAGCTAAAACAAAATACAGAAATCGGATGATATTACAAGTAAACACAAGATTATCGGTGTGGCACTTAAGGCCTATTTTCCTAAGAGATATTTTTCCTAAACTGTCAAGCTCAATATTAAGCTTGACAGCTTGAGAAAAAGTTCAAGAAAACAGCTTTTCTTTCTGCTATCAAACCTTTCCATCAAGTTCCTACTGAAATTTCTGCCCTTCGCTTCGATTTTTCCACCATGTGCATTTTTCCACAGTTCCCCCTTGGCCACCACTGACAAACTACACTCTGGTGTGCCAAATCACCACTGCCCTGTGGAACATGAATACACCAGTGTTGATGGTCTCTATAAAGTAACAGCTTCTATGATATTGTCAGGCTTAGTTTTCCTAGTTATGCAGCCCTCCATATTTCCTTGTGTGCTTCAACCTTCAAACAACCATTCATGGTGGAATGGTGTTTAGATACCCCATCCTAATCGCCCCATTTTTTGGTCTTAATAGGTAGAAGGCATTTTATTCATCCCTTGCGTGTTAAGGCGAGACAGAAACTTAAAAGAGTATGCACCCAGTTTACCTGCAAGGTTGAATTTGTCTCCATTTATCTGGTATATCAATGGAACTTCGAAAAAGATTCCCACTTCATAATAAAGAATGATAAGATTTAAAATTACAGAGAATCACAAAGTGGCACAGGCTGCATTTGATTGGCTCGTTCAGAGAGTTAGGAAAACCCAGTGTTCTTGCTCTTCAGCAATGCTCGCATTGATCCAGTTCATAGTATCGGCGTCAGGTGAGTATTCTGGATGGAAAAAGGGGTCCAGGTCAGGATCTGTATGGCCGCAATGCAAAGTGGCACCAGGCAGATCATGTAGAACATGGCATCATGGAGACCTAAGTACAGACTAGGAGAAAACATTTTACAACTTTCCACCGGGATTATAGAACCGAGTGTCGCTACGGCCTGACCTCTGCTGATTTATTTTCCACCCTTCAGGATGATCCTGCTGTCTTTTGTTCGCATTTGGAACCCAGCTTTCTGAGCGAAATCTTGTTTATGGCTCAGAAAAATCACCCCAAATTGCATTATTGATTTTATACATTGATTACCAAGGTTATGTTCATCTTTTGCCAGCAAAACCAAAAAGTTGTCTGTCACCTTCAAGACTGATTGATCGCCCTCTCTCCTTCCCTCTCCTCCCTTTTCCTCTCCTCTTCTCCCTTCTCCTCTCTCCTTTTCTCCACTTCCCTCTCCTTTCCTTTCTCCTACTCTTCTCCTCTCATCCACTTTCCTCTCTCCTTTCCCCACTCTACTTCCCTCTTCTTCTGTCTCCTTCCTTCTCCTCTTCCTTCTCCTCAGGGAAGTAGAGAGGGGAGAGGAGAAGGAGAGAGGGAAGGAGAGGGAAGTGGAAGGGAGAAGGGAAGGAAGGGAAGGAAAAGGAAAGACGGAATGAGATGGACTGTCGTTGTAAAACTGAAAATATGTTGTATTACAAAGGAAAATGTATAATAAAAACATTTTTTTTAAAAAAACAATATAATGCTCTGGTTAAAACAGCAAAAAAAAAAAAGACTGATTGATCACTTCAAGCAGAATTAAGATCCATCATCAAAGAGCCTGTAGTACAGTGGACTAAAGCACTGTTATTAACATCTGCTGCCTGCAATTACTGCGAGTTCAATTCTCACCAGGCTCAAGGTTGACTCAGCCTTCCATCCTTTCAAAGTAGGTGAAATGAGGACCCAGATTGTGGGGGCAATAAACTGACTTTGTATAAATATACAAAAGTATGAAGGCTACTGCTTAACGCATTGTAAGCCACCCTGAGTCTCTGGAGAAGGGCGGCATATAAATTAAAGCAAAAAACAAAACAAAACAAAACAAAACAAAACACAGAGTCTAATAGCAATAGCTTTTTAGACTTATATACCGCTTCACAGTGCTTTACAGCCCTCTCTAAGTGGTTTACAGAGCCAGCCTCTTGCCCTCAACAATCTGGGTCCTAATGTAAATCAAGAGTCAAACTATGTGTGTAAAAAAAACCTATACAGGCAGTCCTTGACTTACAATTATTCACTTAAAGACTATTTGCAGTTACAGCGGTGCTGGGGAAAAAAAGTCCTTGCTCTTATGACCGTCAAAGCATCCCCATGGTCACGTGTTGAAAATTCAGGCAACTGGCATGTAGACTCCCAGGATCACATGATCACCAGTTACGATTTTCCCAAACAGCTTCCAGCAAGCAAAGTTAACGGGGGAAGCCAGGTTTACTTACTGATTGTCTGAGTCGCTTAACAACTATGGCAAAAAAAGGTTACAAAATTGGGTACGACTCACTTAACAACCGTTGCTCGCTTAGCAACGGAAATTCCGCTTCCCAGCTTTGGTCGTAAGTCAAGGACCTCCTGCAAAACTTTAAAAAGCCTTTTAGGCAGATACCCGGGGGCTGACTTTCATAACAACCGGCCACTTACCTGGAATCAGGATCGACGGCTTTACTATTCAGATCCGCGTAGCCAAATTGATTTAGTACAGAAACCACAAGCATAGGAGCTAAAGACTGAGCTGGCTTTGTGAAGAGAGCGTTGGTTCCAAAGACCATTGACGAGAGCGGAGATCTGAAAGGTAAAAGAGACCAGGTTTTACCTGACATAATAATGGAAACAACACTGATGTCTTGACTCTGAAGGCAGCTGATAACTGGCATAAGGCCCTGATCCCCTCTCTGCCTCTGATGCAGAGCCCATAGCAGAGCCTTCCCCAGACTCCAGGACTGGCCCATGTTCCTCCCCAACCTCCTCTCTCTCTGAATCTGCTGCCAGCTCTGCTGGCCCTTGGCGGGCTACAACAGCACATACTCACTTTCGTTTATGTTTCTTTAAATCTGCATCAACGATATCGGCCAGTGGTAGATTTAACAGACTGAAGGAGGCCTGAACCATCACCCTGAAGGAATAAAATAATCTGGTGAATCTGGCCCACACAATTTTTATTTATTTATTTATTTATTTATTTATTTATTTATTTATTTATTTAATTAATTAATTAATTAATTAATTAATTTATATACTGCCCTATTCCTGAGGGACTCAGGGCGGTGAACAGCGAACGATAAAAATACATGTAATACAAACGTTAAAAAAACCAATTAAAATATACTAAACACTCTGGTCCTAGATAATTCAAGACATCCCAGTTTAAAATAAAATCAAAAAGCAATATAAAGGGAAAGTTAGGCCAGGCCGGCCTGCTGAAACAGGAATGAATTCAATTCAATTCAAATCTTTATTGTCAGTGCACAACATATGCGCAATGAGATTGGTTGAGCTCCCTCAGTGCACACCCCCCCCCAACACAATACAACTCACAGTGAAGACAGAAAATCCCTAACCCAATAAATCATATTAACAGAATGCCCAGTCCTATTGCACCAGTGTCAAGTCAAATTTGTTCATTACCATAAAGTATATCTTCTTGGTCTCCCCCATTTTGGCAGCCTAACAACTGCCAGCAATATTTTTCAGCTCCTAGAACGGATGGTAAATATTTACTTACATGTTGACAGTGAGATAAATAGCCAGGAAATAGTAATATTCTCGACCCAGAGCGAGCATAAGAATTGCAGCCATTCCTTCCAGGTAGAAAGAAAGTAAGATGATCTTGTAGTAACCAAATTTCACTAACAAAGTGTGGCTGAGGAGCACAAGACACTGAAACAGAACAGGGATAAAAAGAGAGAGAGAGAGATAGAGAGATAGAGAGGGAGGGAGGGAGGGAGGGAGGGGGGGGGGGGGGGGGAGAGAAAAAAAG